TACCCACACCACTAACCTTGAAATGTGTGTCTTGGAGTTTTTACAGCACCTTGTTCTATTTACCTGTTACCTGAGGCGCTATGTGGCCAATTTGAGGAAAACTGTTGATTGTCCCACCAAACGGCATAGAGAATGTATAGATCTCGACTCACTGTTCTTGCATGTTTCAGAACACACACAAAAAAACTTTTCTTTTGGGGGGAGTGGGGGAGCTGTGGCTTCATACTCCATTATGTCTTTTTTTTATAACAGCACACACACACAGGGATAGCAAAAACGCCTTGCAGGGAAGAGCTGGAGGGTCTTCCGTGCCTCTAGTGGTAGCTACTCCATTGCTCACGCATCAGGTCAGATGAGTATCCCTGGTTTGGCCCTTGCAATAAATAGCTGTTCTCTTCCTGGGAGCACAGAATGCAGAGCTGTTGGATTTCTTTAATAACTTGCTCCTCGGCATTGTGTAATTCTTCAAAGTTTAAAGTTTATGCTTCGCTGGTCTAATAAGAAGTAAGATTCTATTTTGAGATCTTAATTGAAAAGACAAACATGTTCAAGTGTCCCAGGAAAACAGCAGGAGGGCCAGGAGGCCACTTCTGAGATGACACTGCTTATCAGGACAGTGTTTCCTAGTTATTGGGGAACTACCCCCAAATGAATAACAAACGAATGCAAAGAACATGTTGTTAGCTGCAAGATCAACATGCGTTGGTATAAACCACCCATACCCAGTCTCCCAGTCAACAGGGAGTCCTGATAGTTCTAGAGCAAGCGTAACACCTGGCATATAGCAGGTGCTCCATGAAGATTCACGCTTGGTAACTGCCACCGACCAGCTGAATCTGCATGCCCCTAAGCCTCCATGTCAGAGATCATGTCAGAGGGTGGGCCCCTGGTGATAGACAGAAGGATCCAAACTAGCCAGGGGATTCCTGAGCAGAGAGCCCTGGATTCTGGAGTCCGTTTCTGGAGACTACTGTGCAGGTCTCGTGGTCCCTCTCCTTTGTGTATGACCGCTGCACATGGATTTTTGTTAAGTTAGGTTTCTTCCATCCCATGCTCTGCACAACTGAAGTTTTCATACAAATATGGAGTCTGAAAGTTACATTTGTAGATTTTCTTCGGGTTGGTAGGCTTCCAGCATTCAAGTCTGTCCATATTAAATGTTTTTGGTTCTTTAATATTCTTTTAAATTGAGATAACATACATACAAATCTTGAGTTAAAGTTCAACGAATTGTTGTATATGTATATATCCCTGTAACTATCACCCAAATCAAGATGTTGTGCATTTCCAACACTCTAGAAGTTTCCCTCAGGCCTTTTCCTAGTCAAACCTCCTCTCCCCCACTACCCAGAGATAATCAGTCCTGTGATCTCCATCATCGATTTGTCTGTCCTGCTCTTGAACTTCATGTAAATAGTGACTTACTGTATGTGCCCTGTGATCTTTGCTTCTCTTACCCAACACAGTATCTGTGAAATTCAACTACAACATGTTGGTAGTTCATTCTTTTTATTGCTGGTTAGAACTCCAATATGTAAATATACCATAACTTATCTGTTCCTCTATTGATAGACATTTAGATCGTTTCTAGCTTTTATTACTATGAATTAAGTTGATATGAACATATCAAGTGCTTTGGGGGGCATAAATATAGGAGTGGAATCGCTGTTTCAAGGCTAGAGTGCATGTTTAGTTTTTTGATACATACTATGAAACAATTCTCCAAGTAGGTAAGCCAATTCCTACTCCCAGCAGTAATGAAGGAGGGTCTAGTTGTTCCACATTTTAGTCAACACTTTTTCTTGTCATTGTTTTTTCATTTTATTCTGATAACGGGCAATCATCCACCTCATTACTGTTTTAATCTGCATTTATCTGAACAGTGATACTGTCCACCATTTTATATGTTCACTGACAGCATACTGGGATGCCCTTTTTACGAACTGCTTAATTCTGCCCATTTTTAAAGGTGCTTGGCTTTTTATGATGGACATACTATAGTTCTTTAGATGAGTCTTTTGTCACATAAGTGTCTTATGAACGTTTTCCTCCAATCTGTGGTTTATTTACTCATTTTAATGACATCTTTGTTGATATTAAGTCCAATATAGAAAAATCTCCTTTCGTGGCTATTTCTTTTGGTATTCTGTTTAAAAAGTCTTGACTATCTACAAGGTCACAAAGATATTCTTCTGGAAGTTTTATTGTTTCACCTTGCTCTGTTAGGACTGTGACCTAGCGCTAATTAACTTATATGGGAGTAGGGCACAGGGCCTGCAGGGCTGGGATGTTAAAGAGTGCTTTAGACCTTGCATTGCCGCACTTTGGAAAGGAACCATAATGAACCAAGTTAGCAGTCGCTGGACAAGATGAGGCTTGAGTTTTAGAAAGGCCCTGCATGTGTGTGGCCAGGGATGTGGAAGATAAGGCTGGCGGCAGGGGAGCCCTTGGGGCCGTGAGATCATGGTGACCTCAGCCCAGGTGGTGGCTGCGGAGAGGGAGAGAACTGGCTGATCAGACCCCCGACTGGAAAGTGATCAAAGGGGTTCCACTGAAGACGCTGGACACGGGGCTAGACCGACAGGGTAGGAACCCCAAAAGCCCCATCTCCAGAGTCTCCTTTCCTGTCCCCACACTCATACTCCTCCCACATCAAATCTACCAGTCTTGTGCCTCATTCCTTCCAGTGAGAGTTACCTTTCACCACCTCACTCCATAAACCTAATACGTTATTACGCGTAGGCAGGGAGGAGGAGGGGGAGGGGCAGTGGGCAGTTATTTACATTTAATGGGCCCAGAGTTCCAGTTTTTCAAGCTGAGAAGAGTTCTGGCAATGCATGGTGCCGAGGACTGCACCACGGAGTGAAAGTACTTATGGTCCTCAACTGGGCTCTTCACAATGCTCAGGAGGGCCCTGCATTATACGAAGTGTATGTGTATGTGTACAGACAGACTAATAAATACCTGGAGTCTCCTGAAGATGAAGCCTCAGGGTCAGAAGAGTTCTTAAAGGACGTTTAGAAAAAACTTCCAAAAAGTGAGGTACAGTGTCCAGTGATGGGGAGTCATCACTCAAGGCAGAACTAGAATTTCCCCCATAGCTTCCACTCATGAATCCAGTTCTACCCCCAAGGGTCACAAAAACAAGCTGCCTGCTCAGTGTAACACACAGCCAACACATCTTTCCTCTGAGTACATACTAAGTCCCACTCTCCAATCTTCTGAGTTTTCTCTTTCCGGTCAGATTTCAAGTTCTGACAACTATTTCATAGGATGTTTTTCCATGTCCTCACTCTCTGTTCTTACATGATGCCTTCGCTGCTCTCTCTTGTGGCACAGTGTCTAGAAATGAAACAGTAACTAGTGATCCTAAAATTTCCCATCAAAACATGGAGAACCCTAATGGACTTGTAGGCTGAGGAGAGATCACTGTCATGTGGGCTGGTGGGGGGAGACCGGGGGCTCCTGGACAGATGGCATGCAAGCCTGGATTTGTCTTCCAGGTAAAAACTCTCCTGGGTCCATTCCTCAGGCCTGAAGGAGACGCAAAATCCCAGTTGATCTTGACTCTTACTCTGTTTCACCAGAACCCCATCAACCAGCTCTCCTTGGTATAAATGCTTTACCACGTGTCGCGTGGCACAGGCTGGTGCTTGCCAGCGCACAAAGATACAAAACGTACAATTTCCTCCTTTGACTCTGGAACTTAAACAAACGAGTTGTGTTCCAGAAATTCCATAAACCCACAGTTCTGGAGAATGACCATGACACTTCTAAAGAATTTCATTCTAAATATAGAGAGGTATCCCTCTGCGGAAAAATATCCCAGCCACTTGCTTCTAATATATAATTAAACCCTCCCTAGATACTTTGCAGCTATGTTTTATAGCTTATTTTGAGTGTTCATATTTTATCAGAAAATTATAATTTTTCTCCAAATAGTAGTTTTTATAAGGCTTTTGAATTATGATGCTGGCTTCATGCTCCAAGTATAATTAAAACAGTGAAAAGAAATAGTGAAATCACACATCACACGGGGGTTTGAGGTGGGTTTGGGATCTCCCACTGCCCTGGGCCTGGGGGGGTGTCTTGACCAACTGTGGAGACCCCAGTTTTGACTATGTGGTTGGGCAGCTAGTTTTAGGAAGGAACAGAATGACATGGAAGAAGGGATAAGGCGATTTCATTCTCGGCGCACTTCGGACTCAGCTTAAACATCTCACCTCAGAGAAGCCTTGCCAGCCTTCTAGGCCCGCACCCTCCCCACCGCCCCTGCACCCCCCCCCCAACTGTGTGCTCACCTAGCTTCATAGCTCATGTCCTCACCAATAGTAACAACTCTTGGTAAGTTTATGAGCTTACTGTCCACTTCCCCACTGGACTATCCACTCATGAAGGCCAAAGCCATGTCTTCACTAAATACTGGATAACCAACTCCTTGAATTGTCAAACATTCAATAACTGTTGAAAGTGAATGAGTGAGTGAATGAACGAGAAGCAGCTCCACTGAACACGCATCTGAATGATTCCTTCTGCCCTCTTCTTTACCCCCATACTCTCCATTTTCTCTCTGTCCACTCTACCCCTCGTGGCCCCCCACTCCCTGCCCAACTTAAACAACCCAGCCACATGAAGGCACTTGCCCCCAATGCAGGCATGGCGCTGACTCCCAGGGAGATAGGCCCACCTCTGAGAAGCCTGACGTTTGGTCCTCAGGGAAGCCTTGTTCAGCAGGGACCACAGAGCCCCAGGCGCCCCAAGACAGGGACAGGGATGGCACATTGTGACAGGGCTTTCCCACATGCCCTCCACCCCCCACAGTGACTGTCGGGATCATTTCCTGTGAGTTTCAATTTTCTTCTGTATCCCTGCAAGAGAAATCTCCCCACTTGACGGTCCCCGGTGGACTATAAGCAGCCTGTCCACCGTGGACCATTGTGAGCTCCAAGGCGACCCTGGTCCCCTAGTGTCCTAACTCTCTGCTTATCACTTCCTATCAGGCATCAGGTTTGGAGTCCAAGCCAGTGGCCAACAGCATCCTGTTTTTACGAGATAAGAGATGGAAAGAGGTCAGGAGTGTCCTGACTTCCGCCTTCCATCCAGAGAAGCTGAATGAGGTAAGGCCCCAGAAATGCCGCCTGAAGGGGCAGGCTCAGGTTGCATCACTCGTGCCAGTGGCATCAAACGCTCAAATCCCGTCACTCGCACAGAGCACTGTATTGGAATGACTCCCACTTCAGGCCTCCACGTCCTGGGTGTCCTCATGTGAGTCGCCAGCTCTCACAGCCCCAGTGTCCTGAGACTGCCCGCGGGGTGTGATGCGCAATGGATCACCTGGGCATCTTGTTAAGAGGCGGGTTCTGACTCAGTAGGTCTCAGCTGGGGCCTGAGCGTCCCCATTTCACACAAGCTTCCGGGAGATGTGGATGCTTCTAAAAGGTGGCGCCCCCTTGACTGAGCCAGGAACTGGGGACTGGCTTGAAGCCAAGGTGAGCGGGGAGTCTGGCATTACAGGGAGGGATGAACAGATGTTCCCAGCAGAGCTCTTGGCAGACAGGTGCCCAGGTTAACCTCAAGCCCAGTCAGAGAAGCGCCGTGCCCACAGGATGCCACCTCCTGTCTAAGGCGCTGGTCCCCTCGTCCCCGTGACCCACTCTTCTCTGGCTGCTCGTCTGCCTCCTGTCACTGTGACATTGGTGCCTCGCTGACAGCCCTCAGTTGTTGGTCCAGTTTTGGTGTCTGGAAATTCTGCAATAGCTCAGTACTGACTACACAGACATTTCTGAAGGCAGGAATGTCTAATTTGGGGCCCAGGTACATGGTAACTTCAAAGCAAATGACCGTTCTGAGCCTTCCACACACAGTCCACCAAGCCCAGCTCTTCTGGACTATCTGGCTTGGCGTGGCCTGGTCGCAGTTTATAAATTAGTATTCCTGGCTTAAACTCAAGGTGCTCCTCCACCTCATCTGATTCCTATACCTCCTCTGAAGCCTCCAGAATAGGAGAGGGACCGTGTTTCACAACTAAGCAATCAGTTAAACACAGTGAGGAGCCACTGGTTCCTGCATGTCCTCAATGAGGCTGACATTTGTGTTTCCGCAGAAGTCTTCCCTGTGTGAGGGCAGGTGTGTGAGTGGTGTGGGAAACACTATCATCACCCTCAGTTGACAGATGAGGAAACTGAGGCACAAAGAGGAAGGTGCCCCTGTCACACAGCTGGTAAGCAGCAGAGCTAAGGTTAGAACCCAGCTCCAGAACCTTCTACTTGATGGCTTCTCTTACGACCAGAGCTCCCTGGCACTGTCCAGGGACTGTCCGGAGACTGGGGCCAGAGACAAGGAGCAAAAGAGGGCTTTGTGGAAATACAGGAGGCCAGAAGCAACACACCCCCTTTTCTGCCTAAATGTGGGACCAACTGAGGTCTGGAACCAGCTTTCAGACAGAACAGCTAGGCCTCTGTCTTGCTCATGCTTCACCCACAGTGGAGCAGCTGCAGGAGCGCCCAGCGTCCCCTACAGCCTGGCCATCCCAACTCAGTTCCTTCTTCCTATCCCCTACCTGCTAAGGGGGCTGGTGAGGGGCGAGAGACCACTGGGGCGAGTAATCCAGATGCAGCCTCCTCAGCTTTGGGCCACACTGGCATCGCCTGGGGAGCTCTGCGAACTTTTCACTAAGGGGGCCCCACAACAAGAAATTTTGATTAAACTGGTTTGAGCTGGAGTGAGCCTGGGCTCAAGAGGCTCAGAGGTTTGAATCCCCAGGTGATGGATGGCTCCCCAGGTCGTGGATGGCTCCCTCAGGAGTGCAGGTGTCCCAGCAACGCCCAGCCCCACACCTGCCGCACTGCTGAGCTCCGTGTGCGGGTCTGCTGGCAGGAAGGGCCTCCTGCAAGGCACTGTTTGGAGCAGATGCCCCGGCTGGAGGGAGTGTTCCCTTTATTTCCGGTATCACTCACTGCACTGTTGAGTTAGCCCCAAGGAAGGGAAGAGGAGGAGAGGACGGCAAAGCCCGGGTTGCCATTTCTAGGGTACAATGTACCACGTCTCTATTCATGAGTAAATAGTCACTTGTCAGCACTCGCCATCCAGAATTCCTTTGTTAAAAAGAAATTGATAAAGGGTGTTGATTTTTTTAAGGAAGGAAGGAAAATTTTCCTGGACAGTCGAGCTAAGTTTCTCTGGTGATGGTCGGGGGGGAGGATAACTCTACAGCCGATCAGGATCTGGATTTCTTGAGCACCTTACAAGGCCTACCCCAGGAAAGAACACAGTGTCATGTCCTGAGCAAACCCTGAGCGCCTGGGATCCGGCATTTTCTCCTCTGGTTCAGAAATGCAATTCTTAGTACCTGAGTTAGTGCAGAAAATGTGGTTCCTCCTTGGGATTCACAGCTCTTGGCAGGGGTGGGGTGAGGGGGGTGCGAGGTCACTAGTCAAAGGGAGAGGAGGGAGGGGTGCTGGGAGGTAGAGAGGGAGTTAAGAGATGTCACAGATTCCCTGGGTCTGAGTCAGCTCCAGCCCATTACTTAACACATGCCACTAGTCAGCTTAAAGCTCTTTCTACTCAACACAGGCCAATGTAGGGTCTTGAATTTCTGTGAGGAAGGACACCACTACAGGGTGGGAGCGGCCCTGCTCCCACTCTGCAGTCTGGACCTGTAAGGTCAGCTCCCTGGGAGCTGCCTCAGAAAGGAGGCGGCTGCAGGGCCCGAGCTCAGGAGGGAGGCGTAGGGAGATGAGCATTAAAGACAGACATGGGTGTAGCCCCCCAAGCCTGGGTGCCCCATAAAAAGAAAAGAGTGCCCAGGAGATTCCTGTTGAAGGGGGCAGAGAAGCCAGGGGGAACAGCCTGGAACAGAAGTCCTTGAGAATGGAGCGGGAGGGGAGTATTTCAAAGAAGAAGCAGTCAAGGTGCTGAATGCTTAAGTAGAAGGGCACAGGACTAAAAAGTACAAGACAAAGATGAACGAAGAAGGCAGGACAGGCTGCCAGGAATCAGTGTCTGGCTGCCTCCTTCTCAAGCATGGATGTACCGCCTATTTTCTAGATGCTTCCCTGGAATTTGACCTCCTTTTTGCTCCCTCAGTTACTGGTTCTCAAAACCTGCATGACCATGGGCAGCACCAGAATCTTCCAGGACTCTTGTTTGAAATACCTAGCTCCAGACACCCGGGCCTGTATCTGCGGGTAACTGAGAATCTTACTGGAAAGGCCCCTGTCCCAATTCCACTAAGCCGGAGTGGACACTGGGTGATGTGGGTCTGTCCCCTCCTCTGGCCAGTGCAGACCAGTGTCCAGGCTCTCAGGGCCTGGGCCCAGCATTCCCTGCCCCTCCCTGCTTTGTTCTCTCTGTAGCTGCCCAACTTCCCCTGTGCTTGCTGGCTTGTTCCTCACTGTTAGCAAGTACTAGGTGCAGGGTGAACACTCAGGAGTGGTTCTCGGATGCGTGAATTGGGGGGACTAAACAAAGAACCAGGAAACTCTCTACCTAAGGACAGATGTTAAGACTAAGATAAAGCAAAAATAGAAGGGAAATTCTTTTATCAAGGGCAAATTAAGTAAAAGGCTACAGCAAAGCCTTGGCTTCCTCTCTCGAGAACTACGGGGAAGAATACACCCATGAAAGGAGAAAGAGCAGGTCACAAAGACACAGAGGTGGCTGAGGCCGGCGCAGGCCTGGCGGAGAGGAGCCTGATGGGGAGCTGCTCAAGGACAAACGCCCACTTGTCCCCACCCAGCGTGGGTGCCTAAGCCTGTTCCCTGGAAGTGGCTGGGAAACGTCAGTATCTCCCGTCCTTTCTCATTTAATAAGTAGCTTTTGGGCTTTTATTCGTGAAGTCAGATCTGTTTTCCCTTGCAGTTCTGAGGCCTTCTTCCTTCAGACCTTCACTACTGTGTCTGCGTCATTAATATTCAAAGGCTCTGGATGACACCGTCTCTATTTGTGTGGATATTAGGCTTCCTCAGTCAACAGAGTTTGAAAGTTACTTGAAAATCAGTGTTATATCATGAGTCTATATTTTTATTTAAAATAAAATTGGTTTCTGACTTCAGTCTTAAGGGATACTAGAAAGAGACAGAGAACCAGTGAAAATTTGATTGATGGAGCTCTGATTCCAGAAGAGACACTGAAATTGTAGTTCAGTGCCAGGCAAGTTATTGGCATTTATAAGAACTGCTGAGCATTTCTGGGAAAACAACTGATTTTTTATTAGGGAAAAGTTTTGCTCTATTAACCTGCCAGAGTTTTCACCTCATCCCTTAAAGGATTATTTTTTTTTAAGGGGCAACCAGTAGATTTACTTAGCTTTTACAGAGTCTTTTGCTAGGTTCTTTACCATAAACTACCCTAAGATTGTAAAACTTATGGGTCAGGAAGTAAATAGATTTAATTTCAGGAAAGTAAATGAGGGCATAGTAATTCTTCTTTGGGGGAAAAATAAAAATAATGGGGTTCCCTAGGGACCTACATTAGTACTAGTTTTATCTTCAAATTTTATGAATCATCTGAAAGCCAGAGAACACCATGATCCATATACTTGTGTTCTTCTCTAAGATCTTCTGACTTACAAAATAATATTAAATCAGTTGGACTTAGCTCCTAAGACTTATCCTAAGGTTCTTTAAGGCAGCACAAAAGTGGCAGGTAGCAAGAGTGGCATGGTAAGCAAGAGTGAAATAACACATGCAGGAGAAAACCATCCACACTGTTTGCATGATGATGAACTTAAAGCTGTGAAGTATTAAGGAAAAGAATTTGAAGTCTTTGAGGACTCAGAATGCTCCAGGGTGGCCCAACCTGGTGATGCAATGGGTTAGACGCAGCACTGCAAGCTGGCCGCAGCCGCCTCAGTGCGAGTTTGATCCCCGCCCCAGAGGTGACCCACATGGCGTGGCAGACCTCTCCTGTCTCACCCACTGCTCCCCTCAGCAGTGTACTTCATCAGTCTCTCTGTTCTGCTCCCCACTCTGTCTCTGGTGAAAGCTCTCTGCACCTCTGGCCTATACCCCAGTTCTGTATGTATAAACAAATAAGTCTTTAAAAAAATTAAAAAAAAAAAAAAGAACACTCCAGGGTCATGTAATTTGGTAAAACATGGTAAACCATCTTCGTAGGG